TGGATGGATGGATGGAGTGTGATAAGAGTTGTGCGTGCCCCCAATAAAATGATTTAAAAAAAAAGAACTCTATAGTGTTGGCTGGGGAACAGCCTCCAACACACACACACACACACACACACACACACACACACACACACACACACGTTAGTCAGGACCCAGCTCCAATCCCAGATCAGCATTTACCATCGCTGTTATGTTCAATTAACCTCTCTGAGCCCATCCCCTTGTTGTCTACAAAGTAGGGTTGTGAATAGCTGTGAATAGCTACAACACGTCAGAGGAAGCACACAGTGATTCCGAGATCAAACAGACACAGCCCATTGCCGTGGGCTCGATTCGCACTCAGCAACCCGAAAGGACAGAGCAGAGTGGTCTCAGGGCTTCCAAGGCTGTGCATCTTATGGAAACAGCCTGCCACATCTTTCTCTCATGAAACAGTTGGTAGTTGTTGGTGGGTTCAGGGGTGGAGTGAAATTTCCAAATGTAGATCTCCTACCCATGGGGACTGGTCAGTTTTAGTTACTACCACCCCTGGTTATATGGTGGAGTCATCTCTGAAGGAACAGCAGAGGATACCCCTCATCACCCACAGAACCATGGAAGAGCATTTTCAAGATCTTTGTGACTGCCATGGAGACTCAGAGGGGCCAAGCTGAGTATGGGGCACTTTCTCCTTATCCGGCCCAAGATTGTGAAAGTGTGACAAGCAGGCTGTCTTCTTGGCCCATGGAAGCTAAAACCCAGGGAGGGCCCCTGTAGGTGAGAGACAGAGGGACCAAGACTGGCTTTGGTACCATGTGGCTGAAAAGACTACCTATATCCTTACCGTTTGCCGATCCTAATTTGTGGTAACCTATTGGCTTCCCTAACAAATCCCATTAACTGTGAGTACTGTCTCTGAAGTTCTGTGTGGCCACTGCAACGGATTCTTGAACCCAGAATAGACGTAGAACGACAAGGGAGGAACTGTTGGGGTCAGAATGAGTTACAAGGATGGAGCGTGGAGGCATGTCTGACTCTTGACTCTGGCAACCAGGAAGCCTGAGGAGTCGGCCATCCGCCTCCAGTGCTGCTTCCCACAGGTTCTAATGGCCAGCCTTTGGGACAGCAGCACTTAACCACTGAGCCATGATGAGATAATGGCAAACAACCAGGACAACATGTGATGATGGCAGATATTTTGAATCCAATCCCCTACACTCACTCTTACTTTACGCTCCTCTCTTCCCTGTTATTCCTAGAGAATTCTTATCATTCTTCAACAAAAAGCTTAGTGAGCTCAGTGAGGTTTTCTCTACTTATTTCCTCACACAAACAAAATTCTTGAGTGTTCACATAGTATTTGGCAAATCTCTGCACTGTAATACATAGCACATTATTTAATGTGGTTTGCTTCAAATCCCTTCAAGAGAGTATGGGCTGATATCCAATTTCACCTGAAACCTGTAACATTAGTTAAGTCATCCTCTCTATCCTCCGTGTTCAGGAAAATAGTTTACTGCAAATAACCACCTTCCCGTAGAACTTACATGAGACTCACCAGATGCCCCCTGGTTAAATGACAAGGCCAGACAGACCATCCATTTTCCCATCCCTTGCCTCATAAATGAGTAACTGATGATCAATCAGAAACAAAGTGCTTGGTACTAAATTAGAGCTTAAGTTCTGAGCACTTCATTTGCAGAGTAGCCCAAAATCCATTTGCAAGAGATCACACATGGATTTTAAACTTCCACTGAGCTATTTTGGACCATTGGCCAGTCTAGCCCTAGAGTGCATTAGAATGTGGATTACCTCCATCCCCTCCAGCCAGGTCAGTGAGGGGCACTCTCCCTTGGGAACTAGCCCGGGTGTGTCCCTGATGGAGAACATCACACTTAATGGGTCATGCCCTGACTGCCTTGATCAAAAAGCGCTTGTAACTCTTCTGTCTAACATAATGTATGTGTCCTAATCATGATTGTTACCACTTCAGTAGTCTTACCTGTGAGATATACTGATCCAATATCAAATATGAATTTGTGGCCCAACCCAAAAACCAAGCTCACTGCTATGGACTACGTTCAGACCTATAGGGCAGGGTAAAACTGCTGCTGTAAGTCTCCAGGGCTGTCGCTCTCTACCGGACTAGAGAGCCTCGGCTTCCTTCTGCGGTGCCGCTGGCAGTTTCCAGCTGCTGACCCAACTCAGAACCACTATGACGCCATAGGGGCTCCTGGACTTCTTGACAGTTTCCCTTATTATCCATATCCTATTTATATAACTGAGTGAGTGACTATGAATCTTAGGATGCCATCATGACCTCCCTCATCTAAATTATCTGTCTTTGTCTCATTTTTCTCCACTTTAAGTCTTAAAAAAATGTTCTCCTTAAATTCTATCTGAGATTTGGGGTTTCTTTTATACCTTAAACCAGTATTCAACTGTTGAGTATCCCTCCTTGACCAAAGTCAATACATTACTCTCTTTAAGAACCCCTAGAATAGCTAAAGCAAATTGAAGAAATGATGAAATAAAAAATGTTGACCAGAA